TAAGACTGTTTAAGACCCTGCATATTAGTTATTCTGTATGTTAACACCCCCCAATACCAAACTTTCTAATATTTTGATACCTTGATTACAAAATTATGTATGTTTTTTATGAATAAATTTAACGCATAATTGGCAATCAAACGGCATCAGAAATGAAAAGGTGAATGAAGAACTCATATGCAAAATAAATGGGATATTCCAGGTTGAACAGAAAAAAGCAAAAGGTGCTTAGTAGGAATTAAACTACACATACATATTAGGTATATATAATATTTGGTGATTGAAAAAAAGTGCAGCACAAGATGAAAGATTTCCAACATGGCTAAAATTGACACAGATACTAACTATTTGCAGCAACACAGACTTTACCCAAACTTCCTTGTGATTAAAAATGTTTAAAAAACAAGCAAAATATACAACTTTGAGGTTGAGCTACAAATAATCATTATTTATGAGTCATAAATTCTGCTAAGCCCTATTTTTTTACATATTTACCCAATACTTTTTATGCGCTTTTAAAGTTACATAGTGGTTAGCACTGTCGCCTCACAGCAAGAAGGTTGCTGAATTGAGTCCCGGCTCCACTTGGCATTTCTGAGTGGAGTTTGCAAGTTCTCCCTGTGTTCTTGTGGAAATTCTTCGGGTGCTCCGGTTTTCCCCACAGTCCAAAGACATGTGCTATATGTAGGGCTGTGCAATTAATCAATATCAAATCCCAATTGCAGTTTGAAACATTGTGATTATTAATATTGCAAGTGGCTGCAATATTAATTTTATATATATATATATATATATATATATATATATATATATATATATATATATATATATACACACACACACACACACACACACACACACACAGTTGAAGTCAGAATTATTAGCCCCCCTTAATTATTAGCCCCTCTGTTAATTTTTTCCCCAATTTTTGTTTAACAGAGAGAAGATTTTTTTTTCAACACATTTCTAAACATAATAGTTTTAATAACTCATTTCTAATAATGGATTTATTTTATGTTTCCCATGATGACAGTAAACGATTTTACTAGATATTTTTCAAGACACTTAACTAGGTTAATTAGGTTAACTAAGCAGGTTAGGGTAATTAGGCAAGTTATTGTATAATGATGATTTGTTCTGTCGACTATCGAAAAAAATAGCTTAAAGGGGCTGATAATTTTGTCCCTAAAATGGTGTTTAAAAAATTTAAAACTGCTTCTATTCTAGCTGAAATAAAACAAACAAGACTTTTGAAAAGAAAAAATACTATAAGACATACTGTAAAAAAATTCCTTGCTCTGTTAAACATAATTTGGGAAGTATTTAAAAAAGAAGAAAAAAGATTTAAGGGGGCTAATTCTGACTTCAACTGCATGTATATATATATATATGTGTGTGTGTGTGTGTGTGTGTGTGTGTGTGTGTGTGTGTGTGTGTGTGTGTGTGTCAACATCTATATGTGCGTTAATCAAAGGTGCTGATACTCGTAAATAGAAGGGGTGTGTCCCCGATGTCCTGGCCAAATTCCCTCCATCGGCCCTTACCCGTCATGGCCTCCCAATCATCCCAATCCACTGAATTGGCTCTATCACTGTCTGTGTTTGGCGAGCGCACTGGCATTGTTGTCCTGTGGCTGCCGTCACATCATCTAAGTAAATGCTGCACCCTCTATGATTGTGAAGCACTTGTGTACAGCCATACACAATAAATGCGCTATATAAATACACATTACATCTCTTTTCTGATTGGTCGGTGGGCCAAATCAAAGGTTATCCTCTCTGATCAAATGTATGATTTTATCAAAAACAAGGTGAGCTCCATTTAAACCAGCTAGTCATAAAAGAACGCTCTTCTGCACTAGCTGGGTCGTGACTCGCTCCCTAAGATGAGTAAAGCGAATGTGTACTGGCACGCACAGATGAAGCATGATTGTTATGAAGAGTGACATAAGCCTCCGCCAAGTGAAGCGTCACCGGACGCCCGACACGCTAGTGCTTGGCACAATTACCGCCGACTGTTTTGATAGCAAGCGAAGACTTCAAACTCCTCCACGACAGGAGGCCAGTTCTGCGATAACCTCACATTTGTGTTTTGGCGTCTCAGGAGACCAGCATCTCTCTCTCTTTGCTCTCTTCTTTGGTAGAGCAGTTCAGTCAACTGTTTGCATCTCTGCAACACGAACAAAACCTCTCATTATTTGCAGGATCTCAATTAAATTTTATCTTAGCCAATTTAAAAGATCTGTACGGCAGCAACTTCCCTCTTAATTGCTTGGATGTTTTTTTTTTTTTTTTTGGGAAAATAAAGCCTTGGCTGATAAAACACTGAAGATATGGGATACTGCGTTTGTGACAAGAAAGCAAATTAATGCACTGTCATCCTTCCATTGAAGGGATGCTTTTCCTTTGGTCTCCGGAGACTTGCTGCTTCTTGTCTAGTGACTCTTGTCCCAGAAAATATGCAATAGCATGAGGAAAAAGAAAATGTGCAAATTCATGCGATAGCATAACACTCTTAACAGCGCACATAGGCCTGAAAGAAAAAAAGCAGCACATCTGAACTATTCTAAAGAGACTTGATGATGTTCAATGTGGCTGCCTTAATAAGTGGGTGTAGATCATCTGGGGATTTCCACTGGTGGAGTGAAAAAGGCTACGCTGGACACTGGGGAAGAGGAGAAAGGGGAAGGCAGACCAGGATTCCTCCCAATTAGCTCACTTCGACATTCTGGTTCTGTCCCAGTTGGCTCCCAAAGCTTTTCTTGGCTCAACAAAGCAGGCTGAAATGGGGTCCACGAAGAAGCCCGCTTGAACTGGATCTCCTTTTATCCTCGGATTCCAACACGCCCAGGGATTCAAGGGCTCACGAGCTACGGCATTATAAGAACCAATGGTCTGCTTCGTTTCGAAATCAACATGTGGGCTAATCAGTGGATTACCATCGGGTCTGACTTATTAAAGGGTCACGAAACACCAAAACACATTTTTTGAGCTGTTGACAGTCGTATATGTGTCCCACACTGCTATAAACACCATTAGGACACCTATATTTCACTAAAAAGTGTAAATTGGTTGTTTTTGTGTTATTTCAAGCAAATTCGTACTTCCGGTTTGAAACGAATTTTTGAAGCTGTGTCACGGTCATGACATAATAGCCTGTATTCCAGCGTGCAGACTGGACGTCTGTGCCAGAGTGTGTCTTATTACGTCTTACAGTGTGATGCATTAATGCATGAGTAAGGCTTGGTTCAATCCAATCAGCGCGCTCTATTGTGCAACTTCATTAATATTCATTACGATCACAGTGTTCAGACGACAGAGACGCCACGTTGTGTTGGCTAAACAAGCGTGAAGTGTTGCTTTTATAGTTTGCTGCAGTTAAGTTTTGTTTTCATTTTCTCTCTGTGAGAGCGCAGCTGGAATCACGCGTGGATTAACAGTGTACGCGACGCTCGACAACAATAACTTACGTGTCTAAGGAGGATTGTTGTTTACCTGAGAGCTGTTCTCATCTGCAAACGCCGAGATACGGATTCGCTTGTAGTCTTCTCTTAATAAAGACGTGGCTCTAGTTGCTGGTGATTGTCCTGTCTCTACAGATTTGGTAAGTGAGCGACCAGTGCTCTTTGTTTATTCAGTTTGTTCGTATCGAACTAAGTTAACTATTGCACTGCGTGTAAACATGTTAGCACCACAACCAAACTTTAACCTCGTGTAAGATTTTTACCGCATTTTGTGACCGGAATAACACACGCAGCTTTCTGACGCTACCTGCCGTGTGCATCTAAGTTTCCGGGAAGTGTTGAGGTTTTTTTTCTCTCTCATTCGCCGTGCGGTATCAAACATTGCATGAAAAATACACGCTTAGAGCAGTTCTTCGTATCAAATATCTCGTTTGTTGCGAGGGACATGAATGAATTCCCTGAATGAAAGAGCCAAACTGCAGTTAAAGTCCACCATTTAATAATTTGGCAAATAATTCGACTACAGATGCCCATGTAAACACCATCACTTTCTCCCCTGTGTGTGTGTGTGTTTTGACTCTGAAAGTCAGCGTGCCCAAATAGACACTCCCACACCATGCCTCTTTTCTTTCTCCGACACTCCCCCCTAAACAGAGCTGGAAACGCCCACTTTTCTGACTTTTTCCAAAGTAGAGGTGTGAAAACACCCTGCTGAAACAAGGGTGTTTCATGGTCCTTTAAGCTCAAAACTTGCCTGCTGATGAACTGAAATGGGCAGAGACACGGATGAGACGTGTATCCCTCCAGTTGCTAATTAAACTGTTAGCCTCCAACAACTGGGCAGCAGAACTCCTGCCACTTAGTGTCCGTGTCGGAGTGTCTTCATTAAACGAGTGTCTCTTCGAAGCGGTCTTGATCCCTCACTGAGAAAGGCTGAAGAGACTGAGAGGGGAGAGCGCGACGAGAACTCTCCAATGAGGAAACAGGAGGTGAACACACCCTCATCCACACCCACGCAAGCCGACGCCTGAGCTCTGCTCAAACACCGCCGTGCGTTGATTAGCCATGACAACGAACTGCTGCTTCCAAAAATATGCTGCTCGTTCTAGAGCAGCATGGCCACGCATGAATAAACATCATCTGTAATGGAGCTGAATGAAAATGAGACGCTGGCCTTTTTTTAAGCTGATCCACCAAGAAACCGCCTCTCCCTCCCGACTCCCGAAGTCACCTAGTTGCTGAACGTTGGCTTACTGCAAATTGCTTTGATAGAATTCGCCAAGCTTCCAAACACACCAGGAAAAACAACTGTCATTGTGCTGAAAGCAAGGTTTTAGATCATATGCCCTTGCGATGATTTGATCTTTCCCTACTTTGGGCTCCGGTAATGCTGTAAGAAACGCTATTGATGAACTGTGCCAGCTGTGAGAATGAGGTTATACAGTATGTAAACGAATGGGCAGAGAAGATGAACAGCATTTCATAACGTTGTCATGTTTTGGAGGGATGCAGTGGAAAAGGAAGCCAGCTCTCTTACTGTTGTTGTCCGTGTCATCGCTGACACTCTTAGGAGGAACGTGGCCGGTGTAACCGACGGCGGTTCTGTACATTCGATCCGGATTACGTATTTTCTTCAGTCCTACAGGGGGACACAGTGGGGGAGGGAAGAGTGAGGGGGAAAAAAAAAGGTCTATGGGTACAAAAATACAAAGCCCTCCACTTTCTGATCATGCAGAGGTCATTAATTGCTTGCTTTGTCAAATGGTGCATTATTACTGTGACGCTGATGTCCTACGGGTGATACTGAAGGTCAAAGGGTTATTTCAGGTTTATTTTAAAGAAATAGTATCTGCCTTCGCACATGCAGACTAAAGAAGCCTTTTTTTTCCAGCATCGGTGGATTGTGTACAAGATGTGTATGTAGGTGTGCAATCAACTAGGCTGGCGAGGAGCTAAATGTACACATTGAATCATACCACATGACAAGGCTCTACTCATTTCTGTGGCTTTCTGGATTGTTAAATGCATGCTTTGGTATACAACTTTTGCTTGTTAAGCTGTGACGTATGAAATACTGTTTCCAGGTCCAAGCCCCTACTCATTTGAACTGAGAAAATATTAATTTATGACCACTGTTTAGTCATATCTAGGGCCAGACGAAATCTGCGGACATCTTTGGCTATTTCTGCTGAGAATTTTGGTAAAAGTCTGCGGATCTCTGCGGAATTATTTTGGGAGTGTCATTACTAAAACCTTAAAGGGCACCTAGGTTACCCCTTTTTTCAGATTTAATATAAGTCTTTTGCGTCTCTAGAATGTGTATATAAAGTTTCAGATCAAAATACCCATCAGATTTTTCATTTTACCTTTTACAAGATGCTGTTTTATACTGATTTCCAGCAGGGGGTGGTTTTGTCGTACTGCGCCTTTAAGCCGAGTTCTGCCCGCCTACTATTTTTACATGCCTCCTCCCTCAGCTGCGTCAGACAACAGACAGACAAAGGAAGAAGGTCTTACGTAGCGTTTGTGAGATACTACAGTAAGAACTAACCTTTACTAATCAGTATTGTGAAGTTGCATTGATGAGTCACACAATATTGTTACAAAGTTAACGCGCTCGCGCACACACACGCACATCGCAGATGACACACACACACACACGCACGCACGCAGGCAGGCGGAGCGCGCTTAGCTTAGTTAAGGCTAACCTCAAATACTGTGTGGATATCTGTTATGCTAATGTACAAAATAAACCTGATTTAACTTCCACAAACCGGGATTGAAGCGTCTTCTTTTATAATTGTTCTGACACGCGGCTGTGCTGATGAAGTAAAGCTGAAGTAAAACGCTGTAATTAATTACACACATACTCTGTTTTAAAACACTTTAAACATGTGAAACTTACTCTTAATCACATTTGATGATGATAGCTGATCCTAGCGAACAGAACAGACCTTTTATTCCCGGTTGCTCTGCGTATGTCTGTCTGGTCTTGTTGACATATACACGCGACTACCGGAACATGTTAATGCACGCAGCTGTCAATCAATTCGGTGGGCGGGGGTTAGCTACGTAATGGTGCGATCGATTTGAAAACAGCTCCAATTGGCCGACCCTTTTTTTGTAGTTATATTGAAAAAAAAAAAGGACTGGGTGTGTTCATATCATCCCAGTGTGACGGTCTATACACTATACCAACACACAGATCTGTCCAAAGAACTTGAAAAGTAGATTTTTTACCATAGGTGCCCTTTAGTATATGAAATAAAAAATAATCCCTTTTTAACTTTTATTTAATGCTTAAAATGCAAATCCAATTAGATTCACTTCATTTGGGAGATAAAGCAAGTTTGTCATATAATATATCCAGTAAAAGACAGAAAATATTACTGTACAAACTATATTGTACATAAATCAGATGAACATTTTCACATTAGTCAATAATATTACTGAAATTAATTCAAAAACTGAATAAATATAGATTTACACACATTTACTCAAGTAAATAAACAGAATTAATGATGGGCTAAAAATCTGTGGAAAACCTGCAGAATTTTGCGTGCGCAGATTCCGGGAGGGCCTACTACACATTCACCCTTTCACTGCCCGCTCTACCAAATGGTTGACCATGTTTTACTGTTTTTTTTTTTTTTGTTTTTTTTTGTTTTTTTTTTAGTATTAGGGTAAATAAAAACATAATCCTGTTGCACTTCTACACTTGATTTTGGTTTTATTGTAAAAAAAAAAAAACAAAAAAAAACAAGAAAACATGTTAAATAAAAATCTGAATTATTTTAGGGAATACTTCAAAAAATACAGATGATTTAATATTCAAGTGTTTTATTTTGATTATGTTTTTAAAATAAATTGGTCTCACACTTCATACTTTTACCATAAACTGACATAGCTACCATTTGGTAGAGGTTGATATTTTAAAAGTTATAGGATGTGTTGAAACAAAAATGCACCTAGTGTGTTAACTAGTGACATTACAAGTTTTTATTTTTTATTTTTGCTTGGTATGGGGTACACTACAGTCTCTGGACTAGCTGCATTACGGACACCAATATTTTAACAATATATAAAATGCTAATCACATTCTGGCCATCGGATATTAGGCATGGATATATATACAGTTGAAGTCAGAATTATTAGCCACCCCCTGTTTATTTTTTTCCTCAATTTCTGTTTAACGGAGAGAAGATTTCTAAACATAATAGTTTTAATAACTCATCTCTAATAACTGATTTATTTTATCTTGGCCATGATGACAGCACATAATATTTGACTGGAAATTTTTCCAGACACTTCTATACAGCTTAAAGTGACATTTAAAGGCTTAACTAGGGTAATTCGGTAAACTAGGCAGGTTAGGGTAATTAGGCAAGTCATTGTATAACGATGGTTTGTTCTGTAGACTATCCAAAAAATATATATAGCTTAAAGGGGCTAATAATTTTGACCTATAATAGTTTTAAATAAATTTAAAACTGCTTTCATTCTAGCTGAAATAAAACAAATAAGACTTTGTGCTATAGTATGCTTTGTGATAATGTTTGTTACTTTCCTCATGGCAAACATAGAATTTATAGGCAATTTATTTATTTTAATGAGTAAATATTATATTCAATTCAATTTAAATTGTTTAATTACTATATTACAAAATGTTTACAGCAAAAAAAAAAAAAGTTTAAAAATTGTGAAATTTTAGGACTTTGTAAATAATTAATTTGATAGTTTTGCCTCTGTATTCTGTTTTTTATCATTTTATTTTAGCATTATTTTATTTTACTTTTTATTAAATATTTTTTCTTTGATTATTATTGTACTTGATGTTATCCAATGTTATGGTTAATATGATTGTATTATTAAAACACAATATATATATATATATATATATATATATATATATATATATATATGTTTGTGTGTGTGTGTGTGTGTGTGTGTGTGTGTGTGTGTGTGTGTGTGTGTGTGTGTGTGTGTGTGTGTGTGTGTGTGTGTGTTTGCTGTATGCTGAAAACGTGCTGCACTCAAAAATGGAAATTATCATCATTTACACATACTCGCGTCAGTCTAAAGTTTCCTTTTTGGTTTTTGATTAAAATTGGATGCAAATAATTTGGTTACCACTTCACTTTCATTGTGAGGACAAACAGATAAAAGATAATATTTTATATACCACAGACACCAATATTTTAACAATTTATCAAATATTTATCACATTCTGGCCATCGGATATCAGACATGAATATATACATTGTAATCGTGATTTTCGAAGGTATTACATCGTTTGTAAACGTTTATTATTACCAATTGTTGAGTCTCCCCATACAGTTGGATATGGCATTTGGAGGCGGAAGCAGCGTGACGTCACACTTAACAAGCGGATGGACATAATATAGGTAAAGCTTAGACAGGATACAGCTGCTGATATGTGCATCAACATTTTTTATGACACTGTATAACAATAAACAGTATTTTAAAGTACTGTGACGGTTGGGTTTAGGGGAAGACGTCAAAAAATACAGTTTATTTAGGTAATTTTATAAATAATACTCTATACAACTATTGTTTTTGTGTTACTCTGATGGTTATGTATAGGGTTGGGGGTAGACATTAATAAAATACAATTAATGGGAAAATTAATAAATGTTATACTTTATATTTACGTTAAATTTTTGTTAACTTCCAGCCGCAATCATATCTGATCTAGCAACAACTAATAATGTGCTGCACAAATGGAAACGGTCATCATTTACACACTCGCGTCAGTCTAACGTTTCTTTTGTGGCTTTGAAATAAAATTGGATGCAAATAATTTGGTTACCACTTTCATTGTAAGGACAAACAGATTAAAGATAATATCTTATTTTATATACCACAGAAAAAAGAAATTCATGCAAATTTCGTATACGGTACAGGTGATGATTTATTTATATGTGACCTGTCTCTTTAAACAAACATCTTCTGCTGTAAGTAACCCATACACTTGAGATACAACAAAAATCTAAAGAGCTAATCCAGCACACTAACATCTCCCTGATGTCACCTAAATACTAGTAAACTAACCCAGCTGTTAATTTTCATATCGACTCTTTGACAGTGATGGTCAAGGATTTAGTACTCACTAGTAAACTGGACACACTGCAGCCTCTCTCCTCACAGTTGACTAATTCATCCATACAATCAATATTTCACAGAGTCTATTGAGCCGAAAGAAACTTTTTCTGATAAAAGTGGGAGAAACAACAACATGAGCATGGCTTATGAGGCAGGCAAACCTTCAGAAGTGGATTTTTTTTTTACACAACCCAATTTGTTTTGAAGAACTACTGTTTTTAAAAAGTGCTAGATCTCAAAAAGCAAATGTGAAACACCCAGGAGCCTAATTTCAAGCAGAACTACACTGAAATTTCACTTCGTTCAACTGAGTTTACACAGCCTGCTATTCTCAGCACAATACAGGTGAGTGGAAGCACGTATGTGAGAGTCAAAAAACTGAATAAACCAGCCGAGAAAAAAAGACTCTAATGCACTTTCTAGCCCCTTAAAAAAATCAATAAATAATCCAGAAAAATGACTTTGAAAAGATCTAAAAGTTGATGGGGGTAGTGAGAGGAACACATCATTGCATGTAAGCTGTCATCATCATGTTGGCAAGAACCACTAGAGAATACGCTTCCTGTGTGGAGGAAGAGAATATAACTGATCCAGGAAGCTGGCAAGAGCAAAGACTGTCAGATACAAATGCGTGACACAGTTTTAGGCCGTACAGGTCAAAAGAGGCGATGTTTTCTCCTGTTCTGTGGCAGCTCGAATGGGTAAAAATAGCCTAGAATCGTTCTGTCCCCAAACTTACGTTACATTATGACACATTTTTTCTTTCTAAGAAGTAGAGCAAGAGCAAAGCTTTACCTGGACTCGCGTGGATAAATATGCACGTTGAAAACAAACAAACACACACACACACACACACACACACACACACAAAAAGGTAATACCTTTTTCTGGCCAGGTCATCTTTCAGCAATATCACAAATGAGGATCTCCAGACCACCAGCCAAGCTGAAAACACAACTCTGCTAATGCCTACAGATCCGAAGTTCAACGCACTTCTTTCGAGAAGACAATTCTATACGTTGCAGTGTTCACAAGAGAAACAGAACACGTGCAAGCTACTGTCCAACACAGCCTCTCTGTGAGCTCCCCCAAATCACAGAGGGCAACTTCGTCACTTTGATGGAATTCTTTAATAGGCGAGCTTAGTTATCACACTTACTTCTAAAGTGTGTGTGTGTGTGTGTTTGGGGGTTAAAGGGGGGGTATTCTTTTGCAAAGCTCAATAGCGCCACTTTGTGGCTGTTATGGACAAAAACTTCCTTGGCTGCCTTGATTTGAGGAGATATAGTTGAATAAATAATTAAATGTTGACAAACTCACGGCTGTTATTTCAAGGTAATCCAGACCTAACAAAACTGAACAATCAGCATTTTCCTCCCATACTAATATCTGCGTATTTTTTCCCTTATATAGGCTATATATAAAAAATACGACCTCCGAAAGGGATCAAAGTAATCAGAAGCAGATGGAGAGTGTTGCGAATTATAAATGTGATCTGAATTATTTACATTTTCCGTCAAATTCGTTTGATTTAGTATACAGGAATACAAATACGTTAATCTCTTAAGAATTTCACCACCTTAAAAGAATCATTTCAACGAAAGTCTATACAGAGCGCGCTCTGCTATCACAAACGAAAGTGAACTTTAGGTTTCGACGAATCATAATTACACTCAAATCAAATTAAAGTCAATGATAAGAGCACAAACTTGCTTTCGCTTTAGTAAAAGAGGGGAAGACGTACCTTTCATTTTGCTGCCTCATTAAAATTCCGCTTCAATTTTCCGGGTGTCCTTTCCAATCCAGTTTAAATGCGTTATTATCTAAGAAAATAACTGCTGACAGCTTCAAAACAGCGGCGGCCAAACAGTCACAGTCCTGGGAAAATATTCCACACGAGACTGAAGCATATCGAGCAGCTGTCGGTGGGTTCAGTCACTATAAGGGGGGTTCTGGTGGGGGTGGAAAGAAATCAATCACGTTTTAGAGCATCACCATAAATCTGCATTTATCGCTTTTGGAGTTAAAAGCGTCGCCCTGTTCAATGCGAGAGAGAGCGAAAAAAATGAAGTAGTTGACCGCGTTTGACTTCACGGAGCTCGCTTGTTTGTCAGCCCACGGGGAGCGTGGATGCGGTGTGGAGGAATCCCACTCTAAACCATACGCGAGTCATCTCACGCGTTCATTTCACGCGTCTCATGTGCGCGTCTCAGTCAGTTCGAACACAAACATGCTTCTCTTCATGCAACGAAGGCTGTGGCTCGCCTCGACTTTGATGCGCGTTGACTTTGAAAAGCCTCCGAGATGAAAGGAGTCGCGTAATGAACGTAGCCCGTGATTACCTAACTCCGTTCCCGTTATTTTAACAGCCGTCTCAGAGATGGCTAATCCCATCAGCGCTTCTGCTCCTCTTTTTTGCCATTTCGTGACAAACACAAGCTAAGCGAAAATGTCACTGACTTTCTCCGCCGCGCATCCCTATCCCGACCTTCATCATCTGGAGCTCGGCGCTGACAAAACAGCGAAATGAAAAATAATAATCTTGTTATTTCTCTCTTACCTTCCGGCTTGTTTTCGGCAGCCATTTCCCCTCCGCGCGCCACATCCTCCTCCTCCTCCTCCTCCTCCTAGCGACCGGGGGGGTACCACGCGCGTTCACGGCGAGGACGCGGCTGTGGAGGGGGCGAGAGGCGGGAGGCGCGTGCGTAAATACGCGTTAGCTATTGGCCGCAAAGTGCCATAAATGACAATGGTGCTTTCGGTGATGCTTCATGAATTTTTCGAGATCCATACCCCCCTCTTTTATCCATCCCCTCAACGCCATTGGTGAATGGATTTTATTTAGGAGACACCTTTACAATGCAACGACCAATAAGGATTTGTGGATGGATGCGACTATGGGATTTAGGGGAAACCTTATTGCAAAGCAGGCAAAATAAAGTCGAGTATTAGTCAAATAATGTCTATCTGACAGACAACCATATCCGCGACAATAAATAACTCCTCTTATAATCGAGATACGTGTCCAGCAGTCTTAAGTACTAATAACATGCCCCACTGTGTCATATAATTAGATGTTAACAGCCATGTTAGAGTCGTTAATCTGCCACTCGTGCTGAAGATGACTGTGAATTAAGAATGGCATGAATAAACGCGATGGGGCTTTTACTTTAAAACGTTATTGCATTTAAAGTCAGCACTTGAAATTAAAATAAATAAATGAATAAATAAATAAATAAATAAATAAATAAATAAAAGAAAGAAACATCTGGATGAAACGTTTGAGGTCGTGCGCGGATCTCAAGCTGTTTCTCGAGCGCTGTCCACTCGTGGGTGCTGAAGGAGATGGTGCTGAAAGAACAGCTCCACTCATCGACCGTAAACAGACTGAGCATTGTGAGTCCGTCTGCCGTTTTCCCAAATGAAGCCTAATCAAGAGTGTTTACGTACAACAAAACAGCATGTAGCGATTAGGCTACTGCCAATGTTGTTTGAACAACAGAAGAAACAAGAAAAAAAAGAATGCATGCCAGTAGTTATGGCGTTGTAACATTTTATAAACTTGTCGTCTTTATATAAAAAAAGATTAAAAGCTATCATTATCATATGCTGCGAATGCACAGATGAATAATAAAGTTTATTATTATCATATTTAGACAAATCATATATTAATATTAAAGGTCATCATTATTATATTCAGAGAATACACTGATTAATATTATAGGCTACAATTGAATACCCACAATATGCAGATTGATATTAAAGGCTATCATTATTATATTCTGACAATATGCAGACTAATATTGAAAGCTATTATCATATTCTGACAATATGCAGATTAATAATAAAAGCTATCATTACCATATTCTGACAATACAGATTAATATTAAAAGCTATTTTTACCATATGTCAATAATACGCAGATTAATATTAAGCTATTATCAGATTCTGACAATATGCAGATTCATAATAAAGGAAATCATTATAATATTCTGACAATATGCAGATTAATATTGAAAGCTATTATTATCATATTCTGACAATATGCAGATTACCATTAAAGACTATCATTATCATTTTAAGACAATATGCTAGTTAATATTAAAAGGTATTATTATCATATTCCGATAATACGCAGATTAATATTAAAGGGTATCATTATCATATTCTGACAATATGCAAATTAATAATAATAGCTAGCATTATCATATTCCGACAATACGCAGATTATGAAGACTATCATTATCATATTCTGACAATATGCAGATCAATATTAAAAGCTATCATTATCATATTCTAACAATATGCAGATTAATAATAATATAGCATTATCATATTCCGACAATATGCAGATTAATAATAATAGCTAACTTTATCATATTACGACATTATGCAGAATAATAATAATAGCTAACATTATCATTTTCCGACAATATGCATAATATTATAAAGGCTATCATTATCATATTTTGACAATACAGAGATTAATATTAAAGACCATCATTTTCATATTCCGACAATATGCAGATAAATATTAAAGGATGTCATTATCATATTCAAAGAATATACAGATTAATATTAAAGGATATCGTTATCATATTCCAACAATATGCAGATTAATATTAAAGACTATTATTATCATATTCAAAGAACACAGATAAAATATTAAAGGCTATCATTATAATATTCTGTCATTATGCAGATTATTATGAATAGCTATAGCATTATCATATTCTGACAATATGCAGATTAATTATAAAGGTTATCATTATCATATTTAGACAATATAGTGATTAATATTAAATCTATGATAGGCTATATTGAGAGAAAACACATTTTAATTTTAAAAGTTCCGTCGCAAACATCTAAAAGAAACAAAGAAATCATGCAAAAGCTGGATCTGAATTTTTTTTTTTTTTTAAGTTAAACCTCCATTAAAATATGTTAAATTGTGCATACGTCAACTAACAATGATTATCTAGCCTAACTTTATATGTGTGTGATGTCATCATAACAAACGTGTTATTTGCAGAAGCATGCATTTGTGTGTGTGTTTGTGTGTATGTGTTATATTAATATGCATATATGCGTGTTTGGAAAAAACGCGCACCTAATTTATGCAATAGCGTGTGTATTGATTCCTACTCTCCTTCTCCATAACACACGGTGGCAGGAGAACAAACAAACCATGAGCCTCAGCCGTAGGAGAATATGCGGGTTTACTATGGCGAAGACTCACCTTATTAATATTTATTTTGTCATGCTGACGTTTTTTTGTTTCGCCGAGGCGTCTATTCACGTAAAATAAATCATATTCAGAAGTCAAGCTTTGGTTTAAACAGGGTTCGCCAGTTGACAAACGCCTACTTTCCAGCGTCAGTCTTCCAACAAATCAGTTTGCCCTGTTTGCCAAACGTCACGTTGCGTAATTAATATTCATGAGAACAGACCCTCGCCGTAGTAGGGATTGGTGGGAGGCTTTAGGAATACTGGGGAACATGGCGGCTGCCTTGGAAAATGAATTGGAAGTAGATAACGAAGACTATTATTCTCTGCTTAATGTCAGAAGAGAGGTAAGAAGGTGGATATGTTTCTAAATAGAGGCGGAATTCGTTTAAATGTGCGAGGTTTGCAAGAAATGAAGAATGGATTGCAGTGTTTTTATTTAGGTGACACTGTCCTAAGAGATGTGCATACAGCTGTCATCGCCTACTATAATGTGCCGGTTGCATTGGGATTGCATTTATTATAATCCAACGATTCATGCTTTGACAGCTTGTTAGTAGTAGTCGTTTGCGGTCATATTATCGATATATTTGCATTCGATGTGATGTTTATTAATATTTTGAATGTACCCACGTCAATGTCGGCTTAACGTTACCTCAGAGTCGCCTATTTACTATACGCTTGAAAAAGCTATACTATTCCTCAATTCTTCATACCATGTATAATTTCTTAATAATATAGGCCTACTTACCGTCACGTAAACTCCAAATCGCGTGTCCTCGACCGATTTTCACAAGTACATTTATTAATTCATTGAAACTAACTCGACGTGAATGTAACGGAAATTATGTTACCGGCGGAATATGAAAACAAACAAACAAAACAAAAAAAAACGCGCCAAGTTGCAGTCTTACCCGAGCAGGATAGCCAACCAAAATCTTTTGTTAATGTGTGGCTAAGCCAATTAATTTAAATATGTACATTTTAAAAATGACAACTTAGCAATTTTGTTGCTAGGTTTAGCAACTTTTCATACAACCATAGCAACTTTTTTTTTCAAAAGGCACCTATAGCAACAAATTTAGCAATTTTTAACATTCATTTGGCTACTTTTAGCAATTTTTAAAAAGTGACTGAAAAGAGCAGTGGCTGCAGGCTTCACTCAGTAGAGTAAATTGCTAGCTCAGATTGTTTTTCATAACTGTTAATTTACTGATATTTGTTAACATGTATAATTGTTGGTAATTTAGGTAGCAATAAACTCCATTAGTGCTATATTTGTTGTCACTTTCACAAATGTGTTAATTTTACACGTTAAAAAGAGTAAGACACAAGTTTGTTTAAAAGAATGCACCTGTCTATTATCAGTGTTATATTTAAAAATTTAAAAAAATATTGTATTACTTTTACAAATAGTCAACTACATTTTTCATTAAAATCTAAATGGACATATTTCAAATCAAGTTTTTTTTTTTTCTGAGATGGCCAGTCATTTTGAGAAAACATTAATTATTTTGTATACTACGTAAAGATGTAGTTTTGAGTTGCGATTACGCAATGACGTCACCATGCAAAGTAATATAATAATATTGTAATAATATAATACATGGCGCCTCAGAGAGTAGAGACATAACAGGCTTTTAAATTATGTAAAAAATTAGAATATACAAATCGCAGTTTATTATAAAAACATTTTGGAAAAAGAAACACAAAAACAAACTAAAGGGGTATATACACATCACACAAGAAAAAGATTATATAATTTAAAAAATTTCAGTTGTTTTAAAACCCTTTTTTGTAAAAGTGTTACAAACAGTTTCAAGGAAATGCTGCGTTTCAGTAAGCAAAATATATAAAAAAAAAAGGTTTTTGGTTTGAAAATTATCATTTATGTATATAAAATGTTGTTAAAAAGAAAATATATATTTTTAACCTTCTTATCTTGTCATGTTTAGCTTCTGTTTTATGATTAACAAAACCAAACAAAACATTTTCCGATAGTAAGGAAAAGTCTATCAACATTCTCAATTACTAAAAAAAAAAAAGAAAAGTCTTTCCAAAGCAAATTATAATAACTGCATTGCCAAAATAAGTGAGACATGATGGGCTTAAGCTTGTCAGATACTTATTAATGACATCACTGGTATGCAAATTAGTGTGTGGCGTCATCTGGCAACATTTAGCTACTTTTCAGCCAGACTTTAGCTATTTTTCATTGGAAATAGTGGGCAACACTGAATAATGATCCTTTGTGTCATATGTCTCTTGTCTATATTGTACATTCCCTAGGCTACTCAAGAAGAGTTAAAGTCTTCGTACAGGCGTCTTTGTATGCTTTACCACCCTGACAAGCACAGAGACCCAGAACTAAAGAGGCAGGCAGAGCAACTCTTCACATATGTACACCAGGCATATGAAGGTAAATATTACATAACTCTCCACAGGTTTCTATTATATATTAGATGAATAGTTCATCCAAACATTAAGTTCTGTGTTTATCCCAGTTACAATAATCAATATATTAACTTATCTCACAACACATGACATGAGCTCAATAAGTTTTGGTGATGCAATATACAGTTGAAGTCAGAGTTATTAGCCCCCCCCCCCCCCCCCCTCTTTTTATATTTCTTTTTTCAATATTTCCCAAATGATATTTAATATTTTTTTTTCTTCTGGAGAAAGTCTTAATTATTTTATTTCGGCTAGAATAAAAGCTGTTTTAAAATTTTTAAACACCATTTTAAGGTCAAAATTATTAGTTAAAATCTTTTTCAATAGTTTACAGAACAAACCATCGTTATACAATGACTTGCCTAATTACCCTAACCTGCCTAGTTAACTTAATTAACCTAGTTAAGCCTTTAAATGTCACTTTAAGCTGCATAGAAATGTCTTGAAAAATATCTAGTCAAATATTATTCACTGTCATCATGGCAACGATAAAATAAATCGGTTATTAGAAATAAATTATTAAAACTTTCATGTTTAGAAACAAGTTAAAAAACCGTCAATTCGTTAAACAAAAATTGGGGAGAAATATACAGGGGGATAATAATTCGGGAGAGCTAATAATTCTGACTTCAACTGTAGTTTAATAAATGCTCTACAAAAGTGGTCATCATTAGTTTAATTTAACTAACGATAACAACACTTAACACTTACATTTCTAAAATCACCGTTAGAGTAGCTTTTTGTATTTATAGTATATTTCATCACAAACTAAAAGTTTCCTAGAGCCAAAATGTAAAAAGGTAGAACATACAGTATATGGTACATGATACAAAAATAAAACTGCATAACTTTGCAGTGTTAAAGGGCACCTATAGTGAAAAATCTACTTTCCAAGGTGTTTGGACAGATATGTGTGTAAGTATAGTGTATAGACCATCATATTGGGGTGATATAAACACACACTGTCCTTTTTTTTTTTTTTTTCCCAATTCAACAACATAAAACCGGTGGACCAATTGGAGCAGTTTTTAGATTGACCGCAACTTGATGTAGGAGTGCGGTCCCCCCGCCCACCAATATTGATTGACAGGTGCGCATCACCTTTTGCTCAGTTTGTTGTTTCACGTCCGCCATTTTCAGTGTGTGAGTCAAAACGATGTCACTAAAGGAACATCCTTCTTGTATTTTTAGATGCAAGGCTCAGTGGGCTCAACACAAGATCAACATTCACAACATGATCGCTCTAATCAGAATTGTTTGTAACTTTAGGTGGGTTTGCAAACGTGTACCTTTCATTGCGTCTACCTTAAACTTCAGCCCTTTGCATTTCTTGCAGTCACAGAAGCTCCCTGTGATCTTAACTAGGTGCATCTGGAAAGAGCAAGCGCGTTGCCTCACTTGCGCGTCTCTCGATTGGAAATAAAATAACGAACATGCCTGCAGGTCGCACACCAGAAGCGCCGCTCTGCTGAGCGTCGTGCCACGCATCACCATGCATTTTAGAATTCTAAACATAGATTTTTATCAGGGTACACACAACGATGCTTCAAGTCGGCGGCTGTCCGCGGCGCCCAGCCACGATTCGGGACACTTCATGTTTCTGCCGCGCCACTGAGCTCCATCTGAATAGTTTTATTTTAAATAACATCCAAATGTGCGTGTCTGGTGTGCCGTGTCGCGGCTCTGAGTGGCGCATCCGGTGCCTTAGACAAAGTTAATTCAGTGTGCGTGGTTATTAGTCTCGGTGTACAAGCTCGAAACTTTAAACTAACAGTTGGTTGTAAAACTATACAAGGAAACAAATGACTGTGTACTCTGCTTGGTCTGTGTCCGAGTCGTACATGTACAGCTGAATGCTGATCCTCTTACTCATGTTGCTTCTCTCTGTCTGCCTGTTCGTTGCCAAACACAGAGCGTGGGAGCTCTTGGCTCCGCCCCTTGTTACGTTGGGCGGGAAGTCGAAACTAATTTTCATGTGAAGCAGCACACCCCTAAAACAATGATCTGTGTACATGCCCCCAAAATAACACTTTTTTTTTTAACACACTATAATAAAAAAATCTGAACTGAGTTTTGAACTGAACCTAAACTGGCACACTCAGAAGAACCACAGTATTAATATTAAATCTTGAAAAAGGGGTAAACTATGTGCCCTTTAAATAAATTTACATTGTTCCACATGTAAAACCCACATGAAATGTATTTAAGAAGAATACTTTTAAAGTATTAATTTAATAGACTGCTAAAAAGTTGTGATAAATAATACAGTAAAATACAGTATACTGGTCACATTTGTAAATTGTGCAAAACTAAATAATCAGTGGATAATCATAGAACCGAAATTGTATATTTGCACTTTTTTTTCTGCTATTTTGTAATTTAAATATTAAAAAAAACATGTTAAAATAAAGAATAAGTGCACACAGATGAAGATAAAGCATGCAACAAAAGATGCTTCATGCACAATGTTGAAACTCAAATTAGTGGTTTTAATGTCATACACTAGACAGTAAGAATGTACAATATGTCTCTAGAAAAATAACTGACAGTAATTAATTTTTACTTGACCTGTGAACAGTTCTCAGTGACCCTCAATCCCGAGCCATATATGACATATTTGGGAAGAAAGGCCTGGAGGTGGAAGGTTGGGAGGTCAGTATTGTTTCTCTGCATCATCAATGTTTGCGCTGCTGTGTGTTGTGGTGGTGCATCTAATATGAATGACACGTCTGCATATCCCTTGTATCTTTAGGTGGTGGAGAGAAAGCGAACCCCCGCAGAGATCAGGGAGGAATATGAACGTTTGCAGAGGGAAAGAGATGAGAGGAGACTCCAGCAGAGAACAAACCCTAAGGTGGACATTCCAGAGCTGAATGACAGCGAAAGATAATGAAAAAACTGTTTGTTTTTTTTATTATTTTGTTCAACCTCCTGGTTTTGTTATGTTCCAGCCTATGTCATTTTAAAGTTTCAGTATGCTAGTTTGCTTCTAACATTAGAGGACAGATAATAACAGCCAAATCAGTGCATAATTGTTGAGGTTGATTGTTCAGGAGATCAGCTTTTGTTCTTGATTTATCTTTTTAAGTGCATTGCCAGTTTGCGTATTATTATCAGTGGTGTAAAGTAACAAATTACAAATACTCAAACAACTGTAATTGAGTAGTTTTTTCTCAGGTATTGTTATTTACTGAGTAGTTTTAAAAATGCATACTTTTCCTTGAGTACATTTTAGCGCTGTATCAGTACCTTTACTCCACTACTTTCCTTCAACCTGCAGTCACTACTTTATTTCTGTCTTGTCAATGGGGATTGGCTGAAGTAGACAAATTGGTCATGTTACTTCCACCCAATCAAATCGCACATAGAAGGTAAATTGCACCATACTGAACAACCTCAAGACATGGGCACTTTGTAAATGCAGCAAATCAATTTGAAAGTATTAAAAGTGTCCAAAAAGATGTTCAAAATCTTTAACACAATGACCCAGAGACTGTTTAGACTGCAATGCATGTCCCTGATGAGAAGATAGCAGACGTTTGAAATCGTCAAATGGCCTTAAATAACCAATAAAAGCACTACAGAATGTTACGTTTACACATCCCTGCACAAATTGCGTGTAAACGCATCAACCTTTCTCAGTGTAATACTCAAAACTCACTACTCTTGAGTACTTATAAAAGGTCTTTTAACTCATACTTGAGTAATATTTACAATAGATGAGAGAGAGAGAGAGAGTTTTAATTTTATTGCCATTTCAGCTTCTGTGGCTATGTCATGGCAAAAGAAAAAAAATCAAGTTTACCACATTTTATAAATACTGAAAAACCAGAATGTTGGTAACAACCAAAGATATCCATAAATGAACAAACAAATCTAATTAGTTTCCAAGTTAAGTTATGCGTAATAAAATAAAATGATGCTAGGAAAAAGTGTTAAACACATGAAGAAAGGGAGGTGTAAAAAGGAAGTGAAAGCCCAGACAGCAGCTGAAATCTCTCAGTAGTTCTTCAGCAACCCTCTGCTCTTTGTCATTGTAAATTAATATCAGCTGCTTCAGTCCAACATCTACATTAGCAGGAGGATGAAGATGAAACCAGAGTGGACATTTCAGCAAGACAATGATCCAAAACACAGCCAAGGAAACTCTTAAATGCTTTCAGAGAAAGACAATCAAGCTCTGGAATGGCCCAGCCAGTCACCTGACTTGAATCCAATATAAAATACAAAACAAAGATCAGATTTGATAGACGAGACCCACAGAAAAAAGTTTTTACACTTTGTTGAAGTCATGTGACAATGGCAATGCATGTGACTTCATCCTCCATTTAAGAGTTGTTTTTAAGCTGCCACCACCAAAAAAGGCTAAATTTAGTCAAAGCTTAGTTACCTTTTTATATTTGTATTTCTTTGGTTGTTATTAACATCCGGTGAAAATTTCACGTCAACAGCACCTTTAGAAATATGAATAGTTATTTTATATATCAAATGGGGTGGTGGGGAATGTTTGTCGGAGCTGAGCAAGTTTCTGATGGGCCTATAGCTGACATTTATATGAACTGCACATTACAGTCTCATTTATGTTAAAAGCTTTCTATTGTAAGTCCATATTTTAGGAAAAATAGCAATCACTGTGATTTGCAGTTAAATATAAATTATTATGTTATTTAATTGTTTTTTAGGTTGTTTATTTGCACCATTTATTAGGTTTGTTACTTGCACAATTCTCCCCAAAAAAATTGAAATATTTAATAATTTTATCTTTTAGGGGACAATAAGCGTTGGCATAGATGCGACAGACCTCTTTGACCGATACGAGGAGGACTTTGAGGAAGTTCCCGGAGGCGGTTTTCCCCATATTGAGATTAACAGGATGCACATTTCCCAATCCATTGAGGTCATTATGGACAACTGACAATTTCATGATAGTATAATTAATCTTGAACTTCATTTTAATTACCAATGTTTATGTTTGGCAGGCGCCGCTGACCACTTCAGATACTGCTGTCCTTTCTGGATCCTTGTCAACACATAATGGCAATGGTGGAGGAAATATAAACCTTTGTGTTCGGCGTGTGACCTCAGCAAGGGGTTGGGGAGAGGTGAGACTCATATCAACACACCTCCAGTACGTTTGGCGATCTGGTTCTAATGCCCTAGCCTGCTTTTGTCTTTAGATGGAGTTCGGTGCAGGGGATGTTAGAGGCCCTTTATTTGGGATGAAAGTATTCAGGAATGTTACTGCACGCTGGTAGGTAATCACATAATCTGATTTTGTCAATGTTATTTCATTTTGTGTACACTGGGTGTCGCTGTGACGGTTATAGTGACTTTAGTATATAGCTAGACTACGTACTGCAATTAGTTTTTGACCGCAGTAGCATGAAATCGATGGGTATTTAAAACACTTGTGTGTTTTCTTTTATATTGACATTATACACCCACTGGCTACTTTATTAGGTACACCTTACTAGTATAAGGTTGGACCCCCTTTATGCCTTTAGAACTACCTTAATCCTGGTATAGATTCAACAAGGTACTGGAAATATTCCTCTAAGATTTTGGTCCATATTGACATGATAGCATCACGCAGTTGCTACAGATTTGTCCAATCTCCCGTTTCACCACACGCCAATGGTGCTCTATTGGATTGAGATCTGGTGACTGGAGGCCATTTGACTACAGTGAACTCATTGTCATGTTTAAGAAACCAGTCTGAGATGATTCGTGCTTTATGACATGGCACGTTATCCTGCTGGAAGTAGCCACCAGGGCCTGGTTTTTCAAAAGTAATCCACTAGAATTTCGGAAAACGGATTAGATCAAAACTTGAAAATGGACTTTTCAAAAAAGAAAATGGATGACATAATTGGATTAGATCTCGTAATCCAATCTTGGTTTGATTCAAACCTTTAGTTTGGGTTTTTCAGACCTTTTTTGTAGGATTTGGATGACCTTGATCCAAAAAATCTGGATTAAACTGATCCCATCAGAAGGGTGGATTCAGCATGGATTTCATTCCCAAAATGTAATGAAAACTTTAAAAATGTATAAAACAATACTACATTTGGATCATGCCGTATCTTACAAGATATCCTATTTAATCATAAGGTTTTAATTGTATTCGTTCATCAGTCAGGCTACAGTGATTAGGTAGGCTTTTACGTATTCAGCCTTTCAGTATACGCCTAGAGCAAAGTAGAAAAAGTTTGACCTGTATAAAATATTCCCTCAAACAGCTGTGAAAACTGACCAAAAGCAATACATTTTATTGTCACTAATTGATATATTCATCACAATGGAAAATATTTTTGTTTTTAGAATATTTATTAGTGATGCATGCAATGATTACAGAATAACCAAAAAAATGCAAGGAATGGCAATGACTGATTTTTGAAATCACTTTCAACAATTGCAAAAAGAGACTGAAAGGGCAGAAGCACAGCCTTGTCTGGCAGAGGAACAACTGACTCTGACCAAACTGCAGCAAACCAAGGCCAGACTAGAGATATGCCTCCTAAAGGCTACGCTCAGACAAGCTGGTCTAACCACATCAGATGAGGAAGTCTGAAATTATTGTGGATTTTTTTACTTTTTTTTTTTAATTCAATGCATCTATATTTTAAACTTTTTATAAATATCCTCAACGTACAGTGTTTGTGTTGTAGGTCTCAGATGAGTGGACTGCTGGAAGAGGATGGGGTGGGGGGTTTTCTTGTTATTAGTTTTTTTCTTTTTCATTTCAAATAAAAATGAAGTTATATTGACCCCACACTGGCTATTCTACTTGACGCTCTTTACAGTTCCTATGCAGATCAGATTGATACAATTCGATGTTACTTTGGAAAAACTGGCTCAAAAAGTAAGCTGAATTATGTGACCACGGATTGCAAAAAAAAAAAAAAAAGATTACTAAATCTGGATCAATTTTATTTGGATTAAGCCTTTTGAAAAACCGGGCCCAGAAGATGGGTACACTGTGGTCAAAAAGGGATGGACATGGTCAACAACAATACTCAGGTAAGCTGTGGCTTTGACACAATGCTCAATTGGCACTAATGGTCCCAAAGTGTGCCAGGAAAATATCCCCCACACCATTATACCACCACCAGAAGGGATCCATGCTTTCATGTTGTTGATGCCAAATTCTGACCCTACCATCCGAATGTGGCAGCAGAAATCGAGACTCATCAGACCAGGCAACATTTTTCCAATCTTATTTTGTCCAATTTTCAAAATAAGTCAAGCTCGTCAGCCTTCTTCTGTGACTGAATTCCTCAGGAATCAGATTTAGGTCCTACATGAAGAGATTTGGGTTTCTCTTTCATGTAAATCTCAAAATACTCTACAACTATGTTTTGCAGCTTTGTGACTGCCCAATGGGGATTGCAGTTCTCCTCGCGTGGCATTCGACCCAGTGCCAGTACAATGATGGCTCGTCACCTGGACCAGAACACTATGGGCTACCTGCAGTGGCGCTGGGGAAGCCAGTCTGCCATGACCACCAGCATCGTCAGAGACACCAAAACAAGCCACTTTACATTGGCCTTGCAGGTGAAGCTCACACAGAGTACATTTACATGAACACTAATAATCCAATTTTATATATATTTAACCTTTAATGGATAGTTGTGCAGAGAATTGACAGGAAATAGTTGGGAGCAGAGAAAGGTGAAGGGTCGGCAAAGGACCTTGAGCTGGGAATCGGACTCGGGTCGTCGTGAACACCATGGTGCTATATTTCAGCACACTTAACCACTAGGCTATTGGCACCGACCCAATAATCCAATTTTAATACAATTAAGATAATACAATGATTAAAAGTTCACCATGTAAACATTGATTTTTGATTCCCTTGCTGTGACTATATAATTGAACTAAACAGAAATGGAATTAAGACATGTGGACTATTCCTATTTTAGTCACATTATTGAAGTGCGGTACAGAGATGTAAACACCTTAATCAAATTATTACCATTTTGTAGTACTTTTTGCTACATAATGCGACAGGGCGCACACACGGCAGTTGTCAAGCGTTTGACGACAAACAAATGAGAAAGGCTTTGACNAAGAGAGAACATTTTTGGTGCGAGTGGGAAACAATGACTTATGCTGAGAATTCACTTATGCTGCGAACTCTCATCCAGTACCTCCGATTATGTTATGAGGTCATGAAAGAAGAGTTGGTGTATGAAATGGCAGAGGTGGCCTATTGCTTGAGAATTTGCATCCGCTGTCACTGTGTGAGAATCTAACTGCAGTTGAACTTGTCTCAAAATTAAAAACAAAGCCCCCAAAATTACATATGGTGGCATGATGAACATGAACTGTTGTTGCATGAATCGCCAGAAGAAACTACCATTGAATAGTGACGTAATGACGTTAATCGGACTATGTACTTTAGCATGTAAAACAAGAACTTGAAAGGAACATTTAAAAAGCAACTCATGTAAACACCTTAATCATATTGTTGATTAATTTTATTCAGATTAAGGCAAATCATTGATTATTGATGTCCATGTAAATGCAATCACCGATGATGGTAGTTTGTTAAACTGAAAACGCAGTTAGCATATTAAGAATGTAATGCATCTGTCTGTATTCCTGTTTCTCAGCTGGGCGTTCCTCATTCTTATCTAATGATGAGCTATCAGTACAAATTCCAGGATGAAGACCAGACCAAGGTCAAAGGTTCCATCAAGTATGTGTCTCTTTTTTTAACTATGGCATCGGCAATCTGGATTAACATTTAAAAGTGTGATATCTGTAAAATTTGTAAAATGTTTTTTAATGAAGTCACTTATGCTCATCAACAGGGCAACAATACGGTAAAAACAATACATTTCTGAAAATGGTTTTACAATTTAAAAATAATTAGTTATTCCTAAAAATAAATTAAGTTATTCCTGTGCGGCAAATCTGATTTTTAATCAGCATTTCTCCAGTGTGTATTGTCAAATAAGAATAGCAATTCAAAAGAAATAATTCTAATGTCCTGATTTGGTGCTTAAGATATCTTTTGGTAACCCTGATCAAATGTTTGATATGCACGCGTGTGTGCATATATATACAAAGTTAAAGTCAGAAATATTGGCCCCCTTTGAATTTTTTTCTTTTTTAAATATTTCCCAAATGATGTTTAACAGAGGAAGGAAATTTTTACAGTATGTCTGATAATATTTTTTCTTCTGGAGAAAGTCTTATTTGTTTTATTTTTGCTACAATAAAAGCTGTTTTTTAATTTTTTTAAACACCATTATAAGGTCAAAATTATTAGCCCCTTTAAGTTATTTTTTTCGATAGTCTACAGAACAAACCATCATTATACAAAAACTTGCCTAATTACCCTTACCTGCCTAGTTAACCTAATTAACCTAGTTAAGTCTTTAAATTTCACTTTAAGCTGTATAGAAGTGTCTTGAAAAATATCTAGTCAAATATTATTGTGATCATGACAAAGATAAAAATAAATCTGTTATGAGAAATGAGTTATTAAAACGATTATATTTAGAAATATGTTGAAAAAAAATTGAGGAAAAAAAATAAAAAGGGGGTCTAATAATTCAGGGGGGGCTAATAATTCTGACTTCAACTGTATGTATGTATGTATGTATGTATGTATGTATGTATGCATGTGTGTGTGTGTGTGTGTGTGTGTGTGTGTGTATATATGTATATGTGTATATATATATGTAATTAAAACATTGAGAAGCTATAAATATTACTACTATTTAATAACTATTATATTATCATCCTAAAGTGTTTTAACTGTAATGTGTAGTAATTAAAAATGTAGTACTGGGCTCAAAACTGGTCTTTAGGAAGCTTAAAAGAACATTTATAACACAATAAATTTTGAACATTCACTGTACTCCTCAGTCATAGCTTAATTCATGAGGGTTTAATTAAACACTTTTTAAGACTATCGTGTGTGAAATTTTAGATTTATACTGGCGTAAATTGAGATTGGGATTGTTGGTGATTGAATGGGTGTTGAAGGCCAGCTTGGGTAGCTATACATGAACAAAATTAAGACCTATTAAAAAAAAGATTTAAGACATACAACACAATATTTGTGTAGTTTTGAGACTTTTTAAACCCTAAACATTTGATTTAGAGATTTAACACACTTTAAGACCCTGTGGATACCCTGTACATCTATTCTGATTCATTGACTTGTGTTCTACAGGACAGGCTTCTTTGGCACTGTGGTTGAATATGGTGCTGAGCGCAAGATAAGTCGCCACAGTGTTCTAGCTGCAACCGTCAGCATCGGTGTCCCCCAAGGAGTTTCCCTCAAAATTAGGTTAGCACCGCAAAAAGCAGCACAGCTCAGCAGAACAACAAGCTGCTCATGGGTGGTCCATTTCTGATCGCCATTTTTCATTCTCTCTACAGGTTAAACAGAGCCAGTCAAACATACCTCTTCCCTATTCACCTGACCGACCAGATTTTACCCAGCGCTGTGTTTTATGCCACTGTGGGCCCGCTGGCCATCTACTTAGCTGTCCAGAAGCTTATTATCATGCCTTATGTACAAGCCCATAAGGAACAGTGAGTTATTATCCGTAATTACTGCCCTGAAACCGCCCATTTTCCTGAAACCCCTGTCTTTACCTTGGATTCTCTGATGAAGGGCGCTGACTGTGTGGTTGTTTACAGGGAGTTGGAGAAACAGAAGGAAGATTCTGCTTCAGAAATTGCTCGCAGGAAGCAAGAGGCTGAATCTGCTGTAAGTAAAATAAATGCATAGACAAAACAAATTCTCCCTCTTGCAAACACAAACAATCATTTATCAGGGCAGATGTGTAGGTTTTCGTGTTATTGTTTCTTTGGTTTTCAGGTTTTGTTGATGCAGGAGTCGGTGAAGAGAATCATTGATGCCGAGGAATCTAAAATGGGTTTGTTTTTTTAAACATTTAAATAGATGCAAGTAAAGCTCTGTGAACATGTGATATACAGGCAATTACCAATGATAATTATTGCATTCATTTAAAAAAAAAAAACGAACTAAATCAATCCTAAAGTTATATATCCTATGTGCACAGTGTATGCCACAGATGTCAAACTCAGCTGCGTCTAAAATCGATTACAACCAGAGCTCATACTTTCTTGGAAAACCTAGAAAAGTCAAAAATTTTGACATGGCATTTTTCTGGCCTAGAAATGTTTTGGAAAAGTCATGGGAATTACATTTAGGCTGTACTCACACTATGTACAGTTGCTTTGAACCGGGCCGAAGCATGCTTGTCGCCCCTCCTGTCTCCCCCGACGGCCCACACTCACATTACATTTGGGCCTGAGCACGCTTTCGTCATCGATGATGCGCTATTCAGTAAGAAGCTCTCTCGCTCAGCACAGTGGAGATTTCATTAGTTATATCGTTTTAGGGTGCTTTCACATCTGTAGTTTGCTTCATTTGGTCCAGACCAAGGGCAATAAATGATACATTGTTGCATTTTCTGCCGTCTTTGGGTCGTTTTCACAACACACTGCTGGCTTTGGTCCGAACCAGTTGAAACGAACCAAAATGCAGTCATCTGACAAAATCCACATCTCTCATTGGCCAGATGTTGTTAAACATATTTCCTAAACTGCCTTTTGATTGGTCAGAATTCACATGCGGGAAAATGCCAGTAAACTCCCGCAGGTAAACAAAACCTTTTACTCTGGAGGGATGACTGCGCTGGCTGATTGTATCCCTGCCTTAGACAAACTATACATTACGAAAATTAAGCGTGGCCGCGGCTGGAAAACAGTGTTTAATGCATCACTCGTCACTTCAGGAGGAGACATAAATTAATTTAGCTAAACTGCGACATGGTCATCTTGCGTAAATATTACCAACAATCCATCAGGTAATATTTTCCCCTTTATCTCTCTCTCTCTGTTGGTACAGCACGGACAACAAATATTTTTCCTCCATATCCCATAATGCACAGCGCATCGGCCTAGGGCAGCTGAATTAGTCCAAAACGCGCAGTACTTTTTGCGGTTGGACCTGTTTTAGTACGAATCATATTTTCACCACAAACGAACCGCTCCAGGGTTCGTTTGAAAGTGTACCAAGACCATCTCTTCAAGCAGGTCTCAGTACGCTTATTTGGTCCGCTTTTGGTGCGCACTCGAGTACGATTGCTGCATTCTCACCTGTCCAAACGAACTGCACCAAAAGGGGAAACGAACTCTAGTGCGATTCAATCGAACTAAATATGGCAGGTGTGAAAGCACCCTTAGTCCCTTGATATGCAGTGACACGCCAAACAGATCCGCCATTTTTGACGCTCATAAACAATCATAAAGTCCTCGTGCTGCAGGAATTAGGAGGTTTGCTGAAGGTGCAGTCATTTAGAGCTTGTGCTTAATTCTGTCGTACAGCGCTGCGAAAAGGGGCAGGGTTAAACAATTTGATTAGACGTTAATAAAAGTAGCAATTGCTCTATATTTTAAATGACTAAACTATACTATGGTCTAACGCAATCACGTGATGCGATTTCGCAGGTACAAATTCACCAAGCTTGAACTTTCGAATGCAGTGAAATGCGAAACTTGTCACACACGCTTGTGTTTCTGGTGAATGGATGTCTATGGAGCAAAGTGCAGTGTGATCGTGACTTTACTATAATAGTTTTCCCTACTATTAACAGTTTAACAAACTATTAACAGTGTCTAAATTTAGTTTCAAAAATATCTATATACTGGAATGGGGGTTAGTTGTTTTTACTACTTTCTTGGCCAAAAACATGGTCTCATATAATTATTGCTGTGTAAGCATCATCTATTTTACATAGATTTAAAAATATATTGAAACTAAAGAGATTGTTGTGTGTTTTGTGATATGCTGTAATAAATTAAATGGTTGATTGTTTTTCGTATGATTTACCATGTATACGTGGACCTTACATGAAACATTAAGTCATGAAAATTGACTTGAAAGTCCTGGGAAAGTCAAGGAATTGTTGTAGTAAAACATGCATGAACCCTGCATTACTCAGTAGGTACTACATTTGAATTAGAATTTACTACTCGATCGTTAAAAAAGTATGTTCTATATTGTATGAATGTGAGTTTTATGAATAGAACATACTATATGCGCCATTTTGCATAATCACGTGACCCACCCACATCAGTTCCGTTGCTTCACTCCCATTCATGAATTCAGGATGGTTGGGAATTCTCTCGCGATAAGAGTAACATGCATGGTACTTCTCGCATACTGTTTTTCGAATTCGATGAAATCGGACATACTACTTCACATACTGTTTTTTTTTTGCATACTATATAGTATGGAAATATGCAATTTCGGACGTAGCATTAGTTTCTGGAGGGCCACATCTCTGCACAGTTTAGCTTTAACTAAAATTAAACACACCTGACCAAACTAATTGTGTCCTTTAGGCTTGTTTTACACCTCCAGGTAAAGCCGCGGTCACACTTCACTTATCAGCCCATAGACTTCCATTCATACGCAGGGTTGGAACTAAACTGTGTAGGGCTGCGGCCCTCCAGGAACTGAGTTTGACACCCCTATGCCATAAAAAAAACTCCTGGACCTAGAAAAGGCATAGAATCTTTTTAAATAAAATATTTTTTTAAGTAATGCTCAATTCTGATCTTGTATTTGTTCAACTGGGAATAGTTTTGTGTATTCATTAAAAAAGGTATAATTGTTGGTTAGAAAAAGTGTGAATGGTGGTATTCTGAATAATACTAATGTTTGCTGAAAAGAATGAACTCAAATTGTTAATTTCTTGTCCATGTGTTTCTGATGTAGATATATAGCTGTAAATACAACAGCTTGTTTGGTTTTCCTCAGCCACCTGCTACACTTCCTGTTCATACATCTTGATTTACATTCCTGAATGGATGAATATCGCACTGTAAATATTGTTTTTGTGTTTAATCTAGGTCTCATCATTCTTAATGCGTGGTATGGTAAATTTGTGTCAGACAATAGTCAGAAACGTGAAAGAGCGAAGGTCATTGATGTGACGGTCCCGCTTCAGTGTTTAGTGAAAGATTCTAAACTCATGCTTACTGAGGCATCAAAGGTTAGACATGCAAAAAAATCTACCTGTTCTTTACATCAATGTAACTCGCTTAAATTCTTGTATTAATTAGTTTTGTTTTGTGTTAATCAGGCTGGCTTGCCAGGGTTTTATGATCCTTGCGTTGGAGAGGAAAAAAGTCTAAAGCTGCTGTACCAGTTCAGAGGTGCAATGCACCAAGTGTTGTCCGGAGACACAGATCCTCTTAGGATACCTAAACAATGTGAGTATACTGAAAAACAGGGAATTTTTTATTTTTAAAAGGTTGGTCTTATTTTGCTTTTTTAAGAGTATACCTATTGTAAAATATAATGCAAGTGTGGATTTTTCATAAGTGTCAAAGGTCAGAAAAAACATAAATAAATGTGCACATTATATGTATATATATATATATATATATATATATATATATATATATATATATATATATGTATATATATATATATATATATATATATATATAAATCAAAAATGTTTTAAATAACAAAATGGGAGGGTGGCGGGAGATGGTCTGAAATGCAGGATATGGGTTTGAAATATGGGAGAGTATCTGGGAAAAACCCAGTGTTGGCAGGTATGCTTAAACATACACTCTGCACTTGGACTACTTCAATATTTTTGATAAGTCGTGTTGGGCATTTCACTCTGTCTTGTGCTGAACGCAGTTGACCAATTGCAACAGACTGTCATTGGTTCAATCAGTGTAGATTAGCTTCGCGCTAAGGAGGGGTTTGGGAAAAAATGAATCGCTGAATGAATCATATCCGAATCGCTGGGAGAATTAGGTAAAAATAAATGCACATTGTAAGCACAATATGTACCTTGCATCCATATCAGCCTGTTGTTGGAGATTCATAAAACCAAAATATGACCCTTATAATGTATAATAGGAGCTCTTTAAAAAACTCATGCAAAATGACAAGTGACACTTAAGGGAACAACATGCAGAGGTAGACCAAAAACAACAAAAACTAAGAGCAGTCTACTGAGAGAAAAGGCACTGTCTGTATTTCATCAGCTGCCTAAATATTCATAGTGGCGTTAGACATTTCAACTCTTCGCAACGTTCAAACTCTTCGTTTTGTGTGGGTCAGGATTGAATTCTCTCCAGACTTTGAGGAGCCTTGATATAATGTACCTGCTTGTAATTTGCATGATAAGTGGAGATATTTTATTTCACTGATTTTTATTTGCATAACAGAAGCGCAACCAATTTACATAAAGGCAGTATATGATCTTTAGTGGTCTTCAAAACATCTACTTTGACTCTAAAACACTGTAGTTGTATCTGAAGCCTGTAAGAATTTGATTTGATTGTTGACAAGATGCTGTTTTATGCGCCATGAAAGCAAATCCACTTGCATTTTAACTAAAATGTGGCACTTTCATTCAAAGATGGTGTTTTTGTTCTGTCTCTTTTCATTCAGCTCATAGAATTGATTCAGAGACATAAGGATCTTCCACACATTGGAAGAAAGCACAGATGAACTCAATGGACATCAAAGGAACATAAAGGGACAGTCAGGCATCATGTGATCAGAAGGGCTGCTCCTCTTCATTTCCTGTAGTCACCCTTGTATCACCTTCGTGTTGTCTATGTCAAATCCCTTTACATACATTGGATGAATGGGTCAAACATGTCTCCTTAAAGCCCTGCTCACACTGTGCGATTTCAGCCAGATTTGGTCCTCTGAGACAAATTTGGGAAATCCTAAAAGATTCTAGAAATCCTCGGCTAAATTCTGTGGTCTTTGATTGATGGTTTAACATGTTCGCCAAAAGTCGCATAAAAGCATGTGCGATTAAATCTTCCCTCCAAAGAAGTTCTGGCAGATTCATAAAATAACAGACACTACTGCAAGTGTGAGTTTAACGTCAAACCAAGAACCAATAAGAATGCCATATTTGATAATGCAACTGGCACGACAACTTCACACCGTTTAAGTTTGTTTATGGATAGTAAAGTGTCGTCACACTCCCGGTGAGTTTTCTTGCATGTGTCTGTGTTTTTCAGCGTTTGACATTACGACAATTGAGATCATGTGGTGTGAAATGAGAATCAGTCTGACTTGCTACAATCATTTAGGAATTGCACAGTGTGAACCAGGCTTCAGATCTGGAGTTTTATATGTGAGGCTCCAGATGAACCACCTTAACCTGGTTGTGGCTTTGATAGCTGTTTCTTTTCAGGTGGTGGGAGGAGGTTAATTATTGTACGACTCCGTCCATCGATTTTAATCAGTGTTACATTATATTACACTATCTAATATCAGCAGGAATAAAGCTCCAGAAACTAAACTGTACTTTATAAGTGCGGTCCAAACCATAAGGAAGACCCGAAAAATACATCAGGTTCTGATGTTGAAATGTTTCATGACATGTATGGTTTTGCATGTTTGTACACTGGGCTTAAGAATGGGAAATCTTTTGGTCACACCTTCTCCAGTACTGCTGTTTTTAGGTCTTCTTGTGACCATAGGATTTCATTTACCTTCAAAAGATGTGAAACTTGGGCTGCGGTCATGTTAATATTTGTATTGTCTAGGTGAATCTCAGATAAAAAAAAAATTGGGTTAGGGTTGTCACGATACTGGAATTCAGTATCAATCAATGCTGAAATTTTAAAAACGTCTTTATCCTGCTAAGATTTGTGCGATGCTGAGCACGTTTTTAAACACCACTGATTTGCCATTGTGTTCACGTGCTCAACAGAAATGACTATGGTTGGCCATGAAGGTCATCAGTTCACCAAATTCACCGCTGTTTACTGAGTTTAACCACACATACTTGGACACCGGAGTGTTTTAAAGCCGCGATTCATCAGCGGATCGCTGGTATGTCAGCTTATAGACAAAACCAGCCGATTGACGGCATTTTGAAACGCTCCAGTATCCCTGTATCTGTGGTTACACGCAGTAAACAGCGGTGAGTTTGGTGAACTGATGACCTTCACGGCCTATCACAGTCATTTCTGTTGAGCACGTGAACATGATGGCAAATCAGCGGTGTTCAAGAACGTGCTCCACAGCACTCAAATGTTCACGGGAAAGGGACGTTTTTAAAATTTCAGTATCGTGACAAGCCTAGTTTGTTCATGATACTGTTTGCTTGTTTGCTCATATTTTGTCAGAGAATAAGAATAACGTATGAAAAATGATTAAATAATTTACATAATGCATTGAATTTGCGTGTACAGAATAGGGCTGGGTGATTTGACCTAAAATCTAAATCTTAATTAATTGAACATTTTGACTCCATTACGATTTATAAACGATTGTTTTATTCATTAAATTTTTTGTCCTCATAGTTCACTAATATAGTAAATATGCTCACATATTGCAAGTGAAAGATTTTTGAATGAAGAGTGCATTACTTAATTTTAAAATAATTGAAGAAAACACACACCATCTACTATCTATGATTATTTATTAAACATTAACAAGCATTAACAACAAATTAAAACACACATTGCCTGAAACCAAGTCACAAACAAATAACTTGCACTTTTGGAAACAAAATTTATTATTTTCAACGTTTTTCATGTTAAAAGTAGAAAATGAGCAGAATCTCTACTAAATAAAATAATTGATGTATATTCTGTAAATAATATTTTAAACAGTGCATTTCTTGAATCTTCTGTAAACTAACATTTTAATGTAAATAATAATTTTATTGTATTGTAAAATATAACGTCTCAAGGCATCTCTGGTGCATCTTCCATTCATCTTCAATGTAGTGCAAATGTGCAACGTGTAGTTACATATGTTGAGAGGTGCAAAGGATACGCCAAACCAGAAGGTTCGATGAAGAAGTATAAATCAACCTTAACAGAGCGACGTCACAACACTTCACACATGCTAGGGAAAGTAATTGAAATAATTGATCTGAAAAAAATTTACCGATTATAGTTTCTGAAATTTTTATTACTTTTCGATTAATCGCCCAGCCCTAGTACAGAACACACAAAATATATTGTACTGTAACATGAACATGTCATATTCTGTAGTAATTTAAATAAAAGATTTCATAACATTTATTTTGTTAAAATTACCATTAATAATAAAGTATTTTATATCAAAGTTGGTCACTGAGAATTGGAAAAATTGTTAAAATTCCCCATAAATCTTCTTAAAGCGTTTTATTTAACATACAAAGTATGACCCACAGTATTTTCATGAGATTCACCAAAGTCCTCCTTCAGTCAGAAGCCAAGCCATATCACAGATATCACTGTATTTTCTCCAGATTTAAAATATTTTAATTTGCTGGAGGTTTGCCTTGATAGCAACCTTCATTCTATTCACTTCTCACAAATAAAGCTGCAAAAGTTTTACTAGTTCAAAATGTCAGCATTAATTCTTAAAACACTATAATGCCATTTAGGTTTATTTGGCACTTATCATTATTTGAATCAGAGGGTTACCTGGAAATGTAAGTATGAAAGCGATATATTCCGAACACTTATATTTAAAGATTAAGCTATTTGATCTTGCTGATTTCTACCAATAACCAACTGAGCCATGTTTTAAGTGTAATTTGTTTTTTATGTGCCATTCCCTTTTTTGGTATTAGTTTTCTTTATTTTTCATTGTGTAGTTTTGTTAGTAACCTTTAGGTCTGTCATAGATGTATTTGTAACCATCATTCTAGTTATGACTTCATTTTGGGACATAAGGGAAAACAAGTCATTAATTTTGTTCTGAACTTTCATCCTACTGCTGGATCTTTTGCAAAGCAGTAAAATAAGACCGAGTCTCCCCTGAGACAGAACTAATACATGTACTATTGACAGTCTGTGGCATTATTTTGATGTGATTTTAAAAAATAGGCCTTTAAACATCTCTGGTTTGTTCTCCAGTACTGCACGTCTCCTGAAGTTTGTAGTATAGCTCATGTTCATGTAAATAGGTTGTTCAATCCACATTTTGCAACTCTGGAACAAGTGTTACATTCCTATCTGATGCAAAGCCGTACAAATGTATTAAATGTAATGTAGTCAACCTGAAGAGCAATTTAAAGAATAAAAGTGAAGAAACCTACACATCTTGAGTTGTCTTTTTATGTATGTAGGCCAACTAAACAACCATTTTATCGAATAGACCATTTTAACTACTCGTTAACGCGTTTTTACTACTATTTTAACGCAAATATATCTAATTAACCAAGTTCTCACACAGTGATGAACTGAGGCGAGCGGATTTTGGCGCGGAAATAACTTGTGTAGACTTTGACATCCATTTACATTACTCATTCGCTCGTTATCAAACCATTCATAATACATAAATTAAAACAAGTTAGCTAAGATACTAGATTATATTTCATACCTGTTTATTGTGGTGTTGAAGTAGACGACGGCAAACGCAACCGTCGACCGTGGAGTATGTTTATACCTGCACAGGAAGCCGACCAAACCACTTACTCCTCAGGGGGGGAAATCGATCGGTATTGTTTTGAATGGTTACTTGTGAATGTTTTATATCATCATACTTTCCGATGTTACATGTTTTAAGTAACATTGTAATGTGTAGTAAATATTTAATTAGATGTAAATACATATATCATACTCGCTTATTAATTGTATGTCTTATTATGTGAGACGAGTCTACAACTTAAAGGAACTTTGGGACTACTCACCCAATGTGAGTCAACATTAAACACTTACAATCAGTTTGTTTTCTTTTATGTGATTCTTGTACTGTTTTTCAGAAATCTGACCTGCGAAATCACATCACTTGATTGCGTGAGACCATTCGAAGATCAAAACATGACCTCTCTAGACAGAAATTTAAAACATGGAGCAATACCTCGCTTTTTTATGTCTAATAATCTTGTTTAATCCCGCCCCTTTTCGCAGAGCCGTATGACAGAATTTCCCACACACAAACTCAAATGTGACTGCAGCTGAAGAGCTTGATAAGCTAGCCCAGGTGTGTCTACACTTTGCAGGACACCGGCCCTCCAGGACAGAGTTTGGGCACCCCTGGTCTAGAGACAGGATACAGCTGTGGATATGCACATCAATATAAAGCATCATTTTTGTAACACTGTATAACAATAACACTTTACATTTCTATGATGGTTGAGTTTAGAGTTGGGGTGGGGGTAGGCATTAATAAAATACATTTTATTGGGTAATTTAATAAATAACAAATAATGCTTGGTATAACTACTGTCTTTTTACATTACTGTGATGGTTGGTTTTAGGGTTGGGGTCAAGGTAGACGTTAATAAAATACAATAAATAGGAAATGTAAAAAATAATGTAAATAATTCTCGTTAACTTCTGACCGCAACCGTATCTGATCTAGCATCAACTGAATAAATTGTGAATAAACTTCCATTTTTGGATAATAATAATTAATAATTTCTTACATTTATATAGCACTTTTCTGGGCACTCAAAGTATTTTACACATATATCACTGAAAAAAAAATTATTCAGAAATGATTCCTTGGATTTACTCAATCTTTTTACGTTAAGTGGTTGTAAACAATTTATTTGTGTTGAATTTAAACAAACAAATTAAGTTGAACATCATTAAACTTAATTTGTTTGTTTAAATTCAACAAATAAATTGTTTGCAACAGTTCTGCATGCAACACTTTTTCAGTGGGGGGGAATCTCCTCATCGACCACCAGTGTGCAGCATCCACTTGGATGATGCGACGGCAGCCATTTTGCACCAGACTGCACACCAGCTGATTGGTGGAGAGGAGACATAAGCTGCATCCCAAATCTCATACTTATGCACTATTCTACGCCATTTTGTAGTATAAATAGTGCAAGTTTTTGAAAAATCAAAAAAATAATAAGTGCACTTTAATTACCCTGATGATGCACTCATTCAGCCGCTAAAATGAAGTGTGTAATGATGGACACTTCATGCACTCAACGACCGCAGGTTTGCTTACGTAGCGGAAGGGGCGGAGCTATCGGACGCACATGTTGAATAACTTTATTTATTTTGGATTGTGAAAGCAAAACTCTCCTACGAGAGTGATTATAGCGCCTCCCGATGGTGAATGCGGTTATACTCACGGCAGGTATTATTTGATAATTTGGTTGTTTATTTCACTGATTTGGCAACCGTCAAACATCATCAGGGAAACGGTTTGAATTTCCTCTTAGTAAAAAAACATTAGTGTGCCATTTGGGATGACACTACATACATATACTATTCCGTTGAGTGTGTAAGTGCATAAGTACATAGTGCATGAGTGCATAGTGTATGGTGTGCCGTTTGGGACGCAGCTAGAGTGATGAACCCAGTTATGACATGGGGATGGTTTGAAGGTCATGATGGACAGAGGCCAGTGGGCAGATTTAGCCAGGATGCCAGGGTTAAACCCCTACTCTTTTTTTGAAGGACATCCTGGGATTTTTAACAACCACAGAGAGTCAGGACCTCGGTTTAACATCTCATCCGAAAGTTGGCGCTTACTTAGCAGTATAGAGTCCCTGTCACTATACTGTGGCATTAGGACCCACACAGACCACAGGTTGGGCGCCCCCTGCTGGCCTCCCTAACACCACTTCCGACAGCAACCTAGCTTTCCCATGTGGTCTTCCATCCAGGTACTGACCGGGCACAGCCCTGCTTAGCTTCAGTGGGCGACCACGTGATAGTTGCAAAGAGCTAGCTAGCAGCGGATCTTATTAAAGTAAGAAAAACATTTATTTAAATGACGTAATAATTTTAAAATCATCATCTCTTTATTTATTTATTTACAACAGTTTACATGAAGTTTCACAGAAACATCTCTCTTTTCATTGGACGCAGTCTTTATCCCTCATCGTAATAGTGCGAGCTCAGACTTCTTCGACAGTTCTTCTCTTGCACACAAACAGCCCTGAAATATCAATGTCACACTACATACACGTTATGATTGTACAAAACAAAATGTACTGAACCATCATCCATCCCTTGATCAAAAAAAAAAGCAACATAAGCAATAACATTTACACTTTTCCCCACAAAACAATGCGAAAAGAGCACGTTTAAACGAAGTTCAACTTCCCAAAAGTAAGGGGAAGACAGATTGTTCTAAAAAAAAAAGGTTGGAAGGATATCCAGTTTAAAACATCCAAAATATATCAATGTCCGCCAACAGTTTCACAAATCCTGTTATTTTCATGAACAATCAGCATTGCATGTCTTAATTTTACATTAGGAACTGAACACACATCATAGAGATACTCGAGTTGAGTATTTAAACCAGATTTTTGTGGCTTAAGGGGTTTTTATAGTCAAGCATGCAGACTAGTTAACATATATCAAAGGGTTTTCCCAAATATCCATACTTGAAGTTGCCAAATAATTTATCTTCTCCGCAGTTTTATCTCCTCAATCAGAACAGAACATTCTGAAGACGACATCCTACAAGCACAAGATCAAAGAATAAAATGTACATAACATACTCGAGAAATTTTGATGGGAGTCGACCAGACAAAAATCACACATTTTTATAATCTGAGCATGCCTATGAACATGAAAAACAAAGTGAATCATCAATTATTCACCAGGTTAGACTGGTCACAGTGGTTAGCAAGAAATACACCCTTATGAATGACTCCGTCTAACACCAGCTTAAGCACAAAATCCACAAATGAACCACTATTAAATCCACTAATAGTGCTTTGAATGAAAATATGATTGTAACCACATAAACTATGGGATAATTATTATTGTTAAAAATAGAAAATGTTCTTCCCTTTGGCAGTAAAGTGAATCTCTTAAGACCTGACAAGAGCATCCCGAGATATAATCGCACCGTAAAGTTTTTTTTAAGAACAATAAGGAAATCAAAAGCTAAATATTGATCAAATCTGTGAATAAAAGCAAATATCTACAAACAACTGGATGAAATGTAACATGGATGTGCTACTAGACTGTGAGATTCAACCAATAAGGACTTTTCCGTCCTTTCCCTAACCTGTAACGATCACATAATTCACGTTTAACACTAAAATGATAGCTAAATGTGACCAAAATAGAAAAATCAGCCTGTTAGTCAACTATTACAACATGCAAACCAAAATGTTTGTTTAACAGAGGCCTGGAAATGCAGAAAACAGGCTTTATGGGTGTATCTTTTGGTCATCGGTTTTTTCATTTTAGAAACTGATATTGTCTTTTGATTGTCGTTTTGAAATTCTAAAACGAATATTGAAATATGAGATGTTTTTCTTTTTCATGGTGTAAAACGGAAAAGCTAAATTCAAAAATGATTTAATTTTCAGCTTTTATTTTGAATAACATAAATAAAATCACCAGAAAACAAAAATGAATAAAGGCTTTTTATTATATACCGAAACCAGATAGGCCAGCTCATTCACGATGACGCAATGCTGCCACACACAGGCTGGCCTACTATAGACTATTATTTTTTTCTACTTAAAAATGTTATAAAAGGTATTTTCTTGTGATAACAAGGTTTTATTAAGACATATATGCTTAAATTTATAATGCATCGACTGATATTTACCAAAAACACATTAAATAACAGTAAAAAGCTGCAATAAAAAAAATAAATAAGTGAATTTTCTAGCATAACCTGCTGATTTTTAATACATGGATTGAAATTATTAAAAATAGCCTACTGCTCTCTCTTTCTCTCTCTCGAGATATATATATATATATATATATATATATATATATATATATATATATATATATATATATAGAGAGAGAGAGAGAGAGAGAGAGAGAGAGAGTGTATATGTATATATATATAAAAAAATAAAAAAAAAAAAAAAAAAAAATATATATTTTTTTTTTTTTTTTTTTTTTTTTTTAGAGAGTGTGAGAGTGAGAGAGAGAGAGATATATATATATAAATAATGTATATATATATATATATATATATATATATATA